TGAAATAATGGCATGAAGACTGGCGTTTTGAGGCAAAGTTGTTTAAATTTGAGGAGACGAGCTTATTTTAAAAGAGGTGGACAGGCTTAATGTGCAAAGCCAAACTAATTATGGTGGTGTAATGTTTGGCAGAAGGTGGGAAAGAAATGGCTCCAAAGCATCAACAGAGAGGCACTGACTTTTGAAAGAAAAAGAAAATACAGATCTTTTATCATTACAAATGGGTTTTATTTTCTCAATAAGGTAGAAGGTGCAGTCGCTTGTTTCAAGCTGAGAATTGGGAGGCAGGTTAATCCTGAGAGGATTGAGTACAGTCACTTCGGAGAGTGAAGTATTGAAGTGGCCACAAAAAGGCAGCACCACTGCAGGGCAGGGAGCATGCCCCACTGTAAGAGGTGATGGTATGTTTGGTCTGTAGGGAGATGCTTGCAGCAGCCCGCTGCTTTGCTTCAGCAGAGAAAAAGATGGGTGGGCTATGGCACTGGCTTGTCTTCTACCTCCATAGTGTTACTCACAATGCTTTCTCCTATTGGCTGTCTTTTCCCATTAATTTAAGACCAACCCTTTCTTCAAAGTTCTGTTCATGTCACACTTCCTCTTCAAACCTTCCTCCTCTCTCTACCTCTATTGTAAAATGGCTCTATTGTAAACTACATTAAAGGAATGTACAAAGCATGCTAATTACAATGAACAAATTCTAAGACAGATAAAATGCTGTATCTTTAAAACAAGATGCCTTTAATAAATTTGAATTGTTCCTTAAGCAAAAGACTCTGAAAATTTATGTTTCTTTATAGGATGTATTTTGCACATAAACTTTTTAATGGTTCAAATATTCCCAGAAGAAACTTCTTTGAATGGGAATTAGTCAGTCTATATAATAGCACTGGTCTTCATTCCTAGTTCAAGGTGGTCTTTGGCCATACTAAGGTCGATAGAATAGACTAGGGGAGGCTCTAAAAGATAGAGTCACATATCGTATATATTTAATTTCTATTAACTTTACTCTACCTATTAGATTTTTTTAAATGTAAGAAAAAAAATTAAAGATAGCAAATTCTCCCTGCCATTTCACTCAAAGAGACAAATGTCTATTGACAGGGAAGTGACTCTACTATTTTCACACTTAGACATTGGGCTATAGGATTTAAATGTAGGAATTTGATATTCATTAGAGCAATAAATGTTAGGTAACTATTTCATCTGGTACTAACTAAAGAAGAAACTGTCTGTCCCAATGCTGAAGAGACCAGGCTGAGTTGGGATGATTGAGTATCTGGCCATGTCTAATGGTATGACCTTGGACAAGTCATAGTGATTAAGATTTGTAAAAAAGAGCAAATACCAGTCCCTTCCTCAAAGAGCTTCAGCTTTGATTAATGAAGGAAGCTATATGATATATATTTCATATCAAGTATTTATGCTATTTTAAAAGGCATTTTTGACCACTTCCTTTTGAGTCTGATCCCCAGCTCTGTAGTGAGGATCAGTGTTAGCAGAATCTGTCTGCTGGACTCTGAGCATAGGTATTTCTTCCTCTTCTACAGCAAGTGACAAATCATCAAGTGGAAGTATGGGAACACTGGTCTGAGGATTGAAAGACTTAAGTGTTTGAAAGATCTAATCTAATCTGTGTCCTGAACCAAAATGTGGGGCTTGGTAATCAGGTACATTTTGTTTTTATTAAAATTATTTGTATAAATTTTATTAATTTCAAATATTTCTATTCCCAGGAAGTACCATAGTAACATTAGGATAAACTGTTTAAGATTTCTAAAAGTTGCAGACTTCCATAATAGTGAACAGTGAATAGTGACAGCATAAAAATAAATGACTAAAATGCACTGGGGAATGTGCAAGCATACCCTTTTCTTGATATCAGAAATGAGCTACATATTAGAGAGCACATCTTGGTGCCCAACAGAAAGAGCACAAGTCTCTCGTCTAATATCCATGAGTTAATTGGGAAGGCAAATTTGGAGTCTCCACTGGCTAGGAAAGAACTTGGCATAATTAGGCAACACAGGAAGCCTCGCATGTGCAATATAATGAGAACATAAGGGTGCATGTACTAGTACAAAAAGAACATTTAATGCCCTTTGAGATCGTCAGGCTCCCAGCAATTATTAACTAAAGAGAGCCTTACCAATAATTTCTTAAATGTAAAACATCCTCTCTCCCCCCGCCAAGTCTGGCCTCTTTTGTAAATGCACTATGTGTCCTGAGTTAGATGTCAAGAAGTCCCTGGTCTCTAACTGCTTAATAACTTCAGATACTGACTCTAGCATTCTTCTCAGGCTCAGGTATGTTTTGTCTCTTATTTGAAAAATAGTTAAAATATCTACCTGTTCAAAATTACAGTCTTAGTCCTCTGGGCCTGAGTTTACTGTAGATCAGGATCTCCTGAGAGCAAGAAGTGAGGAGTCAGACCTTCTGAGCTGCCATGTGTTTTCCCTTGAACTTGAGAGAAAAACACACAGTTGTGCTTTGCAAGGAATTCCCATATATGCTTGGAATGGAAGTTAGCCTTGGATATGGGGAAAAGTTGATCAATGCTATAATGCTTGGGTGAAAATCGTATTTGTGGTGTCACATTTTAAGTAGGGGTTACGTTCTAAAATCAGGTCATAGGTGAAAATCAAGAAAAGTCCAAGTTACTTCTGAAAACGTTTAAACCACCAATACAGTGATGATATGCATGATCAAAAGGTATGTACCGGGCTAACGATGTTCTTTTATTGGACTTGGCAGCAGACATTTTTTAGTTTTTATCTAAAAGTGAGATTTAGAGAAAGGGCTATAAAATGCATATATTGGCAGGCACATGTACCTTAGACTAGCTGAGGAGTCAGATTCCCATCTCGCATCTTAGTGTTGGCTTGCTCACCACGAGACATAAGCTTATTCAACTCAGGAAGGCAGAGCCCTTGTACTTCTGAAGTTCTTTCAATCTTCTTTATTCTTTTCCACTTTCTCTTCCCTCTCCCAAACTTTTCTTCCCTTACTGACATCCTTCATTTTGTCATATGAAAATGTACATATTTCTTAACAGAGAAACCGATTTTCCTCATGAGGTAGACATAAGAAGATTATTAAAAAGAAACGGGGTGATAATTACTACAATGCTAAGGTAAAGTTCAGGAAGGAGAACTGATAAGGAGAAGATGAAGGACAAAGCAAACTTGGTTTCTTGAGGGTCTCTGTGAAAGGGCTATGTGAAATCAAAGCATCATTCACATGCAAGGTGCAGCTTGCTGGGGTTGGTTTTGTGATTGGCAGAAGGCCTTTGAGTCTCATACCTCAGACTGCCAAATGTAGATTGAACATTAGGTACACATTCCTTTGGTAATTTTCTAGGTAGAGTAAGAGAATATGGCATGGTTTTAATCATTTCAGAAGAACTGTACTTTCTCAGATCAAGAGAAAGGTCAAGGGAAGTAAATTTGATGGCATATTTAGAGTGATCCTTCAACCAAAAGTGAACCTTTACTGTATGCCAGGTGTCAGGATACAAAGATGTCTCTAAAGGCATTCATAGTTGGAAAGGTATCACAAAGAGCATTCTAGAATAGTTAGATGACACCAAGGCTGCTTTGAGCAAAAGGAACAACAGTGTTTCATAGTAGCCATCATACATATAACAGACCAATGAGATTCACTGAATTCCAAAGAACACTAAATAATCAAAGCCTGTGGGGGGACCATTAATTCCTATTTAGCATTTGGACCACCAGGAATTATGTACTGAACCAGAATGACTGGAGAAGGATAATATTAATCTTTTAATACATTAGAGAATTTATTTTTTCAAACATGGTACTAAAGTGAAAATATTTGGAACATAAGTGTTATAATACCCAAATTAGAAACTAAACTTTAAAAATTTTAGGTAGTGGTAGCTAACTAACTAGTGGAAATAATGTTGAAGTGATTTTAAATTTAGGAAATTTTTATAAAAGTATTGAGGTGAAAATGCTGAGATTAATTTTATAAGGGTGATCTATTGGGGTAAAAATTAGAAAGGTTTAACATATATTGTAAAAAGACTGATACAGAGTATCGATACTCTTAAGTGAAATAAACAGGACACACATGTGTAAATACCAAATAGTTTCTCTAGTATGAGAAAGTGAAAGTGTAAATAAAGACTAAAAGGTATAGTAGATAATGTGAAATAGGAAGAAAAGGGGCAAAGGGGAGGGGGAAGTGGGAGGGGTAGGGGAAAGGAAAGAAAGGAATGGAATTAATATGAGAAAATGAAAAATGGAAAAATAAGAACCAAGAGAGATTATGTAAAGGTGCAAATTTCCAATGATGAATGTCATTATATTGTATACCTAAAATGTAACAATAAAATTAATTTTTAAAAAACCCAGCATCTCTTCTTGGGTCATTTTCTATACCATTTATCTGCTTTAGCATCCAATAAAACTGCTCATTGCCTCATATTATTTCTTTGCTTGTTAACTTGTTTAATGTCTGTCATCCCTACCAGACAGCAAATACACCTCTTAGCATCTGCCTCTTTTACAGTCGCAGCCACAGTACCCTGAATGGTGGATGCTAACAAAATATTTGTGGAACTCAGGCTAATTCAGTGTGGGAAGGGTGCTGATTTTATGATATTTAGAACCAAGGTGGTCATTTGTTATGGGTAACGTACCAGATATATTCATGCCTCATTGTTCACTCAAGGTTTATAACAAAACATTATTTCCAACAATACAGGTTGCAATAGGATTAGTATTCCAAGCTGAGAGGCCAATCTAGTCCACTAACAATTCAAAGAAAACCAATTTGTTCCATTACCAACCTATTGGAAAAAACAACAACAAATCTTTTCCTTCAATCTTATTAGCTATAGGCAGTAATCATGTTTCTATGTTGCTTTGGGGGATTTGAGAGATAGGAGTAAGTCAATTGCAGGGTTTTTATGCCATTATATGTTGTATATTACCAAGGACACTGCTAATTACTTTAATAAACATTTGTGCACTGACCTTTTAATCCCTCCGAATGTTTGTGCATGACCTAGGAATTTTCCAAAGTCAATATGAAACATGTGCCCTGACTTTGTCAGCATGATGTTGTCATTGTGGCGATCGCAAACTCCCAGGATGAAGGTTACCACACACCAGCCAGCACAGGAACAGAAAAAGTTACTTAAGGCCTAATGAAGTAAGAAACAATAGCATGAAAAAAAGAGAAAATGCATTAGCATCAGGGGTAATGAGAAAAAGTAAGAGAGGAAAGCAAAATTACATAATCAAGAACAATTTCTATGTCTCAGTGGGGAGATGGGTTTGAATATGTGGCTCATTCTTGGTATGAGATAGACGAACTTGAAGCATTTGGCTCTTTAGTGTTGTTTTTCATTGAAACTGGGAAAAATATCTCTCATTCATGTGGAGCTAATTCTCTGGATTTATAGGAGAAGAATCCTAGTGCGATTTTTTTAATGCCTCAAATACGCAACAATGAATTACTGTTTGCAAAGAAAAAATAAGAAAAATATACAACCTAATATTTCCTCTCCCCAGAGGCAATATTTAAAATACAAATTTTTACAATGCCCAAAATTCCAGCACCAGGGAGGCTGAGGCAGTAGAATCACAAATTCCAGGTCGGCTGGGGCTACATAGTGAGTTCAAGGTCAGCCTGAACTACCTAGTGAGACCCTGCCTCAAAAAACAACAAAAAACAAACAAAGAAATTTTGAATATTTGAATGTTTCTTGTAATTAGAAGTTCCTTTCTCAAACTACTCTTTGTTTCTGAAAGTTCTTCTAGGCATAAATCGCTTGTATCAGCGTGGTGGTGTAACCATGGATAACTGGTGGGGCTATGGTTCCAGGTATCACGCAGGTAGACTGACTTCCTACAAGGCTGTGTCACTGAGCTTTCCACCAGGATACTCGCATACCTTGCATGAGCAAGTCACTTGACTCGTCTGCCTCGAATCTCTTCACTTCCAAAGTGAAGATAAAATACGTTGTGCACATGGTAGTTGTGAAGAGCAAACGTCTGTGGTCAGACCTCAAACCACATCGAAAGAGGAGTCTTTGCACCACTCAATTTATAGCTCTGGAAATAGCTAAAGAAGTAGATTTCAAGATAATCTCATCTAATTCCTTGTTGTCTGGCCTCTAGATTAAGAAATGAGTGAACTCTTGGGTTTCTTTATCATAATCCATGCTAGCTAAGATGGGCAATCATTCCTGTTTGCCCAGAAATGAGGAGTTTCTCAGAATAAGGGAATTCCCCTGCATGGGACAGTTCGCACCAGTCTAGTGTTTACTAATATTACACTTTTGTGTGGATCAGCACACAGGTGCCCCTGGGTCTGGGTGACCCATCTCTGCCAGTTCATGGCTTGGCAAGTAGAGTAAGTCTTGACTCAAGCCACACTTGTCCCCTTCTCCAGGACCCCCAGTATGTACAGGGCAGAAACTACACAAATGTACATTGTAGGTCAGATGGTAGATCATGTTTGCTGAACATTTTGTAAAATTCTTATAATACATGCAATTATTTTGCATTCTGCTAACCATTTGAAGAACGGCAGATGAGAAAGTAAAGCATGGCAGAAGAAACATTTAACAAAGAACAAGGGTCACTTACAGAAATCAGAGATTGTGTACAAATAGGTGGAAGTTACTGGAAGAAGTTTCAAGGGGCATTACCTCTGGGAAGATTGCTATAAGAGAAGCAGCTGAGCAAAGAGATTCATTGTTGATATCCTGGAGCTTCCCCCAGAAGGAAATTCAAACACAGAAACCTCTGTCTATTTAATACGCCATTTAAACAGAGTCATTATTACTAGTCTGATCACTAGGTGAATCAGAATTTAAGGTGTACTTGATTTACTTTGCCATGAATCAGACTACCTAATGAACCAGAGCATACTTAGAATTAATTCCAGCAGGACGAACCTTTTCATAATCTTCCTTTATGTGGTTGTGCTGACTGAACCACTTTTTGATTGTATTTTCTTTCAGTGGTCCAATGAGCCCAGAATGACGATGGATCTTTGCAAGAGTTACAGCATCAGGCACCATCTGCACAAGCCCTGGTTGACAAAAAGGAGATTATGGAAACTATTCTTTCTTTACATTATGAGAGACACTTAGGAATGCATCTTGATCTCAGAAACAACAGTCATTGTCAACACTACTTGGGTTACCCTTTCCCTTTCCAAATCTTTTTTTCTGCAGAAGCCTTATGTAGATGGGCGTCCTTCTAATTCTTCTTAAATCTTGGTGATTGATGCAGCTACTTGTTGAGTTTTGATCATTTTGATTATATTAGAAGTAGCTTTAAATATTTTTTCTAGGACTATGATGGAGACCTCATCTAAATGGTCTTATAGAGACAGCCTCGGGTCAATGGAGGAGTGGGCCAGTTGTCCAATTGCTGGGACCTTTATTTACAGTTTAATGGAGAACATTGAAGCTTGTATAACAACACATTTCTTCCTCCAGTGCACCAAATACACTCTCCATGACAAATATTTCAAATATATTATAAAAATCAATGTTCAGGTTAATAAAACCTTCACAGTTAAATGTAACATTTCTGGAAGTGAATAGAAAACTCTGCAGGAAATATCTAGGGAGTTACCTTCTCCTTGCTTCTCAGTCAATATTAAAGAAAAACTATGAAAAAATATTTTTATAAGGCAGCCTATATTGATTGAATTTAAGGAAGACCTTTACCCCAGTGGCTCGGCATCCATCAAGGCTTTTTTTACTGTACTCCTAAAATTATTAGAATTAAATATTTTCAAACTTTCTGACTTTTAGCCCATACAGAAAAACAACTCAAAATAAGTACCTAAAACTCTCCCAGGATGCAAGTCCCAAAACAACCCTCAATGCATATTTTGATAAATAAAATCATTGAAATAAATTAAAATCTAGAGTGCCTGATTTTCACAACCAGCACAATTGCAAGAGTTGCAAACTTAAATACCCAGAGGGGCCAGAGACACAGATATAACTCTGTGAATACAGAGATGGTTGAGTTTTAAAAGCTGAAAATTTTTGCAACAGTAAATATCCAATAAGGCTTCCAACTTGATTAAAAACACAACCTATTCTTCTAAAAATGACATTTGCTTTAGTAATCTCTATTTTTCTTGAAGAAGTGTTTTGTCAGTATAATGCCCTCCAAAATCCTACAACTACAGAAGGTTTTTGGTAGAGAAAAAAATAATTTATGACATCTGCAACTTTGGGTAAGCCTATAGTCATCTTTACTGAGTCCTTTTATTAGACTTAACAGATTTTGACTCAGTTACAGTCTGTGATTATAAACAGATACAAGCAGATGGAATTGAAGGATTCCATTGGAATGAGGGATTTACTCAATTTTGGAAGAAAAGATGATCTATGTGACATCCAAAAGTTCAGCCTGGCTCATTTGACTTTATTCTTACTTTTTCAGCATATTAGGCTATGAGAGAATTAAGTCATTAGGTGAGAAAAAGGAAGGCAAAACACATCAAATAAGAAATTTATGGTAGCAATAATAAAGTACTTTCTCATGGGGAACTAGAAACTAGCTTTAGAAAGGGCCTAGATGTGGGACACTTGGCATGGGACAAGAGCCCTATTACCAGAATCAAAATAATTAGGTAATATTTTATAGAGGAATCACTGTGATGTACCAAGTTGCAAATTAAACTAGCTGGGAGGCGCTTCAAGATTAGCATCTAACATCTTAACTTACAGTTGGCTACAGCACTGAGTCTGCCAGTGAGACCTCAGGACCTGAGGAGTCAGGAAGAGGTAGCTCTTGTCTATGATAAGTCTCAACTGTAGTTCCGCTTGAATTAAAACAATAAAATTCACTACTGAGTCTAGGTCCAGTTTTGTGGTTTTATCCCTTTTTTTATGCACATGTATCTGCTATACTTTTGATAATTAATTGGATGAAATTCTAAGTCATAATGATAATATGCAAAAAAGATTATGATGTTTTAGGAATTGTTTCTTCAATTTAGCAGATTATGTATAACTGCAATTTTTATCTGATGTTTTGGTCAGAATTTGGGTGGACCACTGAAATTACTTGTGCTGGAAATGTGCATAACTATAATTATATTTCCACATTAATTTATTGGCTTTTGTAAAAGAAAAGAAATACTGAAGCACTTTGAATGTTTACATGCATGGACATTTTTTCCTGTTGGTATTCTACTTATTCAAAAGTCTTTTAGAAACTAAATTCAGGTCTATAAAGTGTTTAGAATTTTCAGAACTTGGTTAAATATTTGAAAATATGTAAAATTTGTGTTAATAGCCAACAACTGTATTTTTTAAATGGGTAAACATTCGTTACAGATGGTCTCTAACAGCGATGGTTCAACTTAGAGTTTTCAACTTTACAGTGGCACAAAAGCAATATGCATTCAACAGAAATTGTACTTCAAATGTTAAATTTCGATCTTTTCCTCAGCTAACAACATGAGGTATAGTATTCTCCCGTGAGGGCAGGCAGCAGTAGTGAGGCATAGCTTCCAGACAGTCACATGATAATAAAGGTACATGATGCTATTCATCAGTGTACTCTGCTGCTATTCTATGATTTTTGGTGGGTTAGATAAATGTATTTTGACTGACTGTATTTTCAATTTATGATGAGTTTATCAGGATGTGGCCCCATTATAAGTTGAGAAGCATCTATATTATTTTAGAAAAATGAGAAAAAAATCAGTTATTAATGTAACTACTCCCACAGACACATGCAAGAACATCACAGTTAACATTTGGATTGTGAGGGTCCTAATTAATATCGAAAAGCTGATGATTTATATAAATTTTCTTTGCTTATCATTTTGGAAATTCATCCTTTTAGAAGAGAAGAATCAGTATAGTTCTTTAGATTTTAAAGTTTATATTCTGAAATGAATTATATAGAAAGTTTACCAGTGAATGCATGGGATAAATAATGTGAGACAATTCACTTTTTTTCCTCTTCTTTTTTTTTTTTTTGGTACCGGGGATTGAACTTGGGTCCTTGTGCTTGTGCACCAGGCGACAAAACCACTGAGGTAAATCCCCAGCCCGAGACAATTCACTTTTTAATCCATACTGACCTTGGCTTTTTCCTGTGGATAGACATTTATAAATGATCATTTGCATATCTAGACCCTCCTGTAGCCAAATGTTATCCATCACTTGAATAATCTGTAGAACAAGCATATCCTGGCGAAGATCATCTCCAGCCTGTTCAAAACAAAATTATAAGCTCTGGTTTCTCCTTGAATGCCATTTAAAGCATTCAATATGGTATGTGTCATTTCTTTGCTTGGATAAATTTCCAGCCAGTTTTAGAATGGTTTCACTTGTTTTAATAGTACTAAAAGTACCTTATATTTCTAATAGATGATCAAAGAATATAAGAACATCCTCTTACATGATTGCAGAAACACCAGCCTTCAAATTAGAAGGACTGCTTGGAGTGTTGTCCCTTAAAATAGTCTTTCAATATCATCCACATACAATTTTTTAGGTTGAAAGTCTAATGAAGAGAAGCTGAACAGATGTTCTCAACCAACAGAGATCTCTTCCTAAGTGAAGATTATCTGGTATGATAAAAACTTATGCACTGATATGCAATTAGAACACCAAGAGTTCTTGACTAGGAATATAAATAGTGTACATATGATTCAGCAGACTGACAGTCAATGATTTCTCCTATTTTGGAGGCAGTTTCCAGAGAAAACTGTCTTTGATAGTAATAAGAAATGATAAAGATGTAATTTTCTAGCAGAGGTGAAGGAAATACAATATGTCCAAAAGAGAACAACAGCTATATATTTTTAAACAAATAAGCAGTTTGGTATTAAAAACATGTGCAAATTAAGCACAGAAAATTCTGCCGAGGTAAGATTTTGTAGTTTATTTTCCCCTTTCATGAAACGCAGTATGAAGGCACCATTAAGGCTTTTGATAATACCAGTGAAAGCAAAAGTGAATATATTAGTCCTAATCCTCAAAATAGCATTAAAGTTCACAAAGATTCACTTTGGGACCTTATTAAATAATTGACAAAATAAAGAAATGATTGGCCAAATCTTACTTTTAACTACAGCTCCCTTGTTAATTCCTGTTTCTTTCATGTCTATATATATTACGTCACTTCATTCTCATGGATATTTTTTCATAGATTCATGATGAAGACTGAACTGTTACCTATTTACTTTTTATTTACAATGAAAAAAACCTCAATTAACTAAAATAAGCAAGTACTTGCAGATAAAAGTTTTATGTTAAATTAAAATGTCATTTGAGTTACAGCTAATTTTGATCCTAATTCAGTATTTAGGCCAAAGGAAAACTCTACTTGTACGGTCTTAAGCCACATTCCACTTTTTACGACACTCAAAAGTGATCATATACTTTGATTTGTTAAAACATATTCTGTGAAGTTTTGTACCAAAGGTTTCCTGGCTTTGAGCCAGAAATTTTTGATTCATTGCCAATCATAGTTTGGCATGCATCATTCTAAAAAAAGGCAGAATCTGAAATAACTGGGAAAGCTCTATGCTGTTGCCAGAGGAAAATAGCTGCAATCATTTCTTTTTGTAATTAATAAATCAATAGTTCTGCTTATGGAATCAATTTGATGCTTGAAGAAGGCCACTGTACCTTAAAAATGATGCTGATGTTTGTGCCCAGTGGATTAGCATTGATGAAAGTAATCTTCAATGGCAAAGCATTAGATGTGAAATATGAACATGCCTGTAGGAAGAGAAGAGAAAAATGGAGGGTTAAAGTAAACCAAAAACAATACCTTTCCTGAAATCAAGGTTCTTTGCAGAATTTGTTGTGTGAAAAAACACATGTGAACACTTTGGAACAATAAAACATATTTATTAAAAGCAAGCAAACAAATTTCAGCCTGCCAGTCAAAGCCTTTATAGGAGTCTATTTTTCTCCAACATTTTGTTTCTGCAGTTTCAGTTACCTGTAGTTGACCATGATTTAAAATATTAAATACAGAATTTCAGAAGTAAATATTTCATAAGTTTTAAATTGCATTCTGAGTAGTGTGATGAGATCTTGTACCATCCCATCCATCTTGACCAGTAGGTGAATCAATCTTTTGCGCAGTGTATCCAGACTGTATATGCTACCTCCCTTTAAGTTACTTAGGAGCTAGCCTGATTATTAGGTTGGCTGTTTTGGTACTGTTTTGCAGTGCTTTATGTTCAACCACTTTTTATTGAATAATGGCCCCAATATGCAAAAGTATCAATGCTGGCTATTTTGTTAAGGATATTGCTATTTCATTCCATTTTATTCTAAGTTACTATCATTAATCTCTTATGCATAATTTGTCATAGACATGTACTGGGTTGTAAATCTCCAACTATATTTTTTCCTCAATAAGCAGTAGTGATAAGTTCAAGGTCTAAGTAAACTAAGCAATATATAGATATTATGTTTATGATAGTTGGTTAAGAGATGAAAGGTAAAATTGCTATTTCCTTTCAGTTATTTCTGCCCTACAGCACACTTGAAGGAAACACTGATATAGAATTACAAAAAAAGAAAAAAGACTTGAATTCGAGTTTGGACTCTGTCACTTATCAGCTGTAAGACCTCAGGGAAGTAAGTTAGCATGGCTGTTTCTCTGCTATAAAATAGAGATAACAGTGCTTATCTCATATATTTTGGTAACAAGCACATGAGCTAGTGGATACGGAATACATTTGACCCTGTGTGACGCTAGGAAGGTACTTTGAAAAATCAATACATTTCTTCTTCCTTTTTTGCTAATGAACAGTATCTTTAAAAATAAAAGTACATTCATTTCCTTGTCTTATTTCTTTCAATTACATTGCATATTTGGGTCTTCAGCTTGATGATAATGACTACTTTTCCTGCTGTTTACTGTCCTACAACTGAGTGTTGAAAAGATATATGTGTTTGGGTTACTACAGAGCTCATATGGATGTAAAGAGTTAAATCAATATTAAAGAAAGGAAAAGGATTTGATGCTTTCAATATATCAACTTAGTAAAATAAGACATCAATGCATGTTGAAATATCAGTTTGAATATCATTATCTCTGAGATGTGTGGAATTGGGGTAAATTGAAAACAAAGGAGCTATTTCTTAATTTACTTCTCAATAGAAAGCTAATCTAATCCCTAACCAAACACAAACTCTTGCTTCCAAATCAATTTGAGTTTTATAGTTTTATGGGTGAGACTGCTTGTTGAGTATGAATTTCTGCTGTAGAGGTCAGTTAATTAGGGATCATATGATACTGTCATTGTATAGAATTAAGAAATCCTGTATTAGACAAGAAATGAGTTGCGACTAGTGCTTTTCAAACCCTGCACGTCGTATTTGTGAGGATCCCTTTGAAGTATCCCAAGTCCAGGGAAAAGAAAAAAGATAAAAAGGAGGCTGAAGGCAAGGATTTGACTCTCTACTTAACTGGCATTCAGAGTTACTCTGCTTTCAGTGTTTCATTTCTTTGTTTTCATATGAAGTATATTTTTTAAGAGCCATGTCAAAATACATACTCAATGAGGATGCACAAAGCATTGTCGATATGCTAACGGAAAAAAACCCACTATATCCATCTTCATTAAACCCACAAAAAGGTACGAAGATATTTACATATGTGTTATGTCAAAAACACTTCACCGGGCAGTTTTTCAAAGATGGAGGAAGAAGCATTTGAAGAAGAAAATCTTTCAGAGGCAAACTTGATCTTGAAGATTATGAGGATTAGCAAGTAGGGAGAAAAAACAGTTTTCAGGTGGGAAAGAAACAAAAGATTAAACTAGAGCAGATGTTGAAAGTGGATTGGGGTGACCCTAGCCAAGAGCCAGAAAAGCGTGAAGCAAAATGAGTTTACTGAAATGGTGAGAAAGACAAACTAGAAGGTTAAAAACTGAAATAGGGAAAGGGAGATACTCCGTCTGTTTTTGAGAAGCACAGGTTATTCACATAGAACTAAAAATAGTTGAAAAAAGAAATATCTGGTCTTTGGTTTTTCAGTGGCAGAAGCAGGGTTGTATGAAGTTACTCTCAACTATTCCACCTGGTCTATTTCTTAGTGACTCAAAGGCAAACAGGGAATGATTCATTGTATGTGGTGGTTTCTGGAGCATGAGGTTGAGAATTCTTATAAAGAAAACTTAACTGAAACCTAAGACCGTGCTCTTTACTTTGGATAGGCATGATTTAGAAGTGGATTGAGCCAGGCCTGAGTGTTTCTGTCAGTGTAGCTGATGGATGGTGCAAGAGCTCAGACTAAAGGCTTTTCCACACTTGCTATGCTTGGAGGGCTTCTCTCTAGTGTGAACTCTGCAGTACATAGTAAGCTGTGAGCTATAATGGCTAACAGAATCATAAGGGTTTTCCTACGTCTTTGGAGAGAATGGGTTCTCTGATGTACATTAAGACTGGCACTATAGCCAAAGGCCTGCATTCACAGGGTTTACTGGCAGGGTGAATGGTCCAGTGTGAAATGAGGTGTGTTCTGAGTGCAGAGTTTTGGCGCTTATTGCATTTATAGAGCTCTTTGTCTGTTTGGAGTCTCTCGCGTAGAGCAATACATTTACTCTGATACGATGCCTTGCCACACTGTGTTCAGAAGCTCTTACTCTGGTATGAATTTGCTCATAGTAAACAAGTTCAGCATTCTGATTGAAGGGTTTCCCCCTAAACTGCCGACATTTATATGCTTTTCCCCTAGTGTGACTCAGATGTTGAATAAGATGTCGACTCTGACTGAAGGTACTGAATATGCATTATACTCATAAGGCTTTTCCCCTGTGTGGATTACTTGATAGTGAGTTTTCTATTGGGACAGGAACAGGGAGCTTTGCCACATTCATTCAGCCTGTGAGGTTTCTCATCTCTTTGTGCAATAGAAATGGAGGATTATCCAGGGCAACGTCACTGGCCGTGTCTGTCCTGTGCATGGTTTGCCTACAGGCACCTTGTGCAGCCCCAGTGGCAGGGTGAGGTCTTTGACAGCTCACCCTGGAACCCCTAAGGGCCACCTCATAGTTTTAGCACCCGACTCCAAGGCTCATACAGGCCAATACTCACATGTAATTTTAATTGAAAAAACCCCCACTCTATTTCTCAAAACAAAATAAAACACCTCAAGAAACCAAGAAAGAAAAAGCAAAACCCAACTGGGTTCAGTGATCTCTTGCTCCTTCTACCTTAAGATACTACATCTCTGAAATGATGATTTTCTATCTTCAGTAGTAGCCAGCAAAGGGTACTAATGATTCAAACATCATATGACTGTGGAAGAAGGGTTTGGACTTGAAGGCAGCTCATTGCTAGAGCTTTAGCCTAGCATGCATGAGGCGCTGACTGTATTTCCAGCACTCTATCACCCAAGTTAATGATGATTTTTATTTTAGCCCGGATAGATATACCTCAGTATGGAATTTAATGCCCCTTTTTGTTTTTGTTTTATTTTGGTACTGGGGATCGAACTCGGAACCTTGCGCTTGCAAGGCAGGCACTGGAACCACTGAGCTAAATCCCTGGCCCCACTTTTTGTTATTTTTTTAAACTATGTTTATGAAATATATCAGGAAATTTTTAGAGCATCTTGGTAGCAGCAAAGTTGTAAGGATAACAGTATCACATTTTTAGCAAAACTTTTAACATTTATACTACTAATAATCTAATTTTCCTCTAATTATTGAGTTTGTTTTCTTGACTGTCTTATAACTTCACTTAAGTACCATTTTTTGTGCATTCATGATAGCTTAACCTCATCACTTTTAAATCTCACAAATCAATCATTTTCCCTATTAGCGTCTTTCTACTTTAGGAGTTTTGAGAAGGAGGAAAAGAAAGCTTAACAGGACCAAAGAAAAAAGAACAAGTCTAAATCAAAGAATGGTGGATGAGAAGGCATCATGTGACAGAGGATTAGAAAAAGAAGGCTCAAGAAGCTGTGTCTGATAACATCAGGAAGGGGTCTCCCATGCATGAGTAAAATCACAAAATAAATTATCTGACACACAGACATATGAGTACCAATAAATTTCAAATCAAATGAAAATGAAGATGATGTAGCTAATGATTAATATTAGTGGAGACATTGTTATACATGCAATCTAAATAAAGCATGAAATTAGTAGCAACTCTCCCACCCGGTCTATCCCTTTGTGATTCAATGGGAAACAGAAAATGACCTACCAAGTGAGTCACCAAATCAACCATTTTGAATAAGTAAAAATAAATTAATTTTGTGAGAAATGCATTCGTTTTTTTCCTAATGAACTGATGAATACTTTGTTTCCAAATCAACAAACTACACTATGAGGCTAATGTGATCTCAATTGGATATTGTGCATCAAATAGAAAACATAGTGTAGATGATAATCAACTACTTTTTCTTGAAATAATTGCAATGTCAATTCCTGAGTTTGTAGGCTACTTCACACATATACAGTGAACTAAACAATGCAAAGCAGAAACATTCAATTGATTTACTGATTAAACAGACTTACATCATGGTCGATCCCTTTTATACACAGCGCAGGGTTCAGTGGAAGATGACAAGTATTTATATCTTGAAAGAATTTGTCTAATCTGCCAATCTCTTTTTTTAGTACCTCCTATGAAAAAGAGCATTAGAAACAAACATTTAAGGAACTGTAAAGAACCTGACTCTTCTTTCAAGTTGTACTTTTCTTCTACTTTTGAAATGAGCTTTTAATGCAAAGGCTGGAGACTTGGACGACCTTAAGATCAGGCAGGTGATGTGGTCACCTAGGAGGAGGCAATAGACTAAGGACAATAGAGATTTCTGGGGAAAATGGGAACCGAAGAACTCATGCCCTATCTCCAGGATCTCAAAAATCAATTAGAAGCAAATACCAAGCAAAGCACTGTAGTGTTCAAACAAAATGAAGTAGATTGGACTTGGCATGTGGCCCACTGATTTGCAGATCCTGCTCTAGGAAATTATTACCATGACCCTTTTCTGAGAATTCCCTGGAATATGAGTTTATAACTCTCAAGATTTACCCTTAAGAGTAATAAGGCATTTTAGAAAAATATTCGCATGTTAGTAACAACATTGGCTGTTTTAGTCACTTTCCCATTGCTGGACACAATACTTGCCCCCACAACGTAAAGAAGGAGAGTTTATTTTGGTTCATGGCTTCAGTTCATCATCAGCTGTGGTTCCAAGACAGAAAGGATAGAGACAATGCATGGAGGGGGGAAAAGGTGCTCAACCCAATGGCAACCAGGAAGCAGAGAGAGAGAAGGAGGAGCCAGAGAGAAGAGGGGGATCCTTCCTGGTCTTGCCCTCACTGACCCACATCTGATCAGGACCCACATCTTGAAAGCACACTCAGCTACTGAGTCGCCAATGCACTAATCCACTGATAAGTCTAGAACTCTCATGTTCCAAACACCTTCTACATACATGAGAATCTTGGGGGACATTTAGATCTAAATCATAACAATGATCAAAAATGACAGTTGCTCAATGCTGTCAGTATACATACACAGAGAGTTTACTGGACACCAACAAGTATGTAATTGTGCTTTTTATTCCCTTTTATACTTCACCGAACCTGTGGAAAGCCAGAGACCCCAAACCTTTGGTGTGCATCCTTTGACAAAAGAGGTAGAAAACCATCGCAATTCATTGAGAAACAAAATGTGTTTGTATCCTCATTCTGAAAACTAAACCCAATGCTGAAGGTGAGGATATCAGATTAACAATGTCAATTGACTCCTGAAGATTTCTTAGCTCTTACTCTTGGGTCACTGGAAAAAAAGAGAATCTACTGCTCCCAGAATCCAGAAGAGTGTGAAGTAAGTGCCAGTGCTGCATTCTTTCTGTGTCTGTTCCCCTGGGGTCACCTATGCTTGAGTTTGCCTGCTAATCCCTGTGGAGGGAAATCTCTGTCCCTCTTATTTATGTGAAAACCTTTTCTCCATATTGTACAGTTAGGTTTAATTTAGTGCTTTTTCTTTTAACCAGAACAAAAATAAATATCGGTAATTTAAATTGTGAGAAATTGCAAATGCCTCCTTTATCTTATTTCTTGATTCTTTTCTCTCCCAATTTTCACATAAAGAAATGTTTTCACAAAAACTGCCAGTTAAGGTAAGAGAAATATATTTATTTGAGTAAATAATGTCAGTATCACTCAAAACTTGATACAAATTGCCAAACAGGGACTACAATTATTTAATCATAGTGTGTGTCTTAAATTTGTGCAGGATGTTTTTAAATGAACATGAATTGTACAAATGAATGAATTTCACCGTGACATTTCCATATGTGATGGGTTAGGCATGTCAACCCCATGTGAGAGAGTTAAAAACAAGAGATAAAGACCAAACTCATACACAAACTTCTATAAATTTTCAGTCAATTTATTTTACTTGCCATCAACTTTTTGTCCACCAATAGAAAATAATTAATAAGCTTGCAAACAAAATGAATAAATCTTAGAAGTTTTAAAATTGGCATTGCTCATCATATCATATACCTTAAGATTTCTCTTTGTGCCCCAAATTTATACAGTTCCCATTTGAAAATAAATTCCAGGCGTAAGTTTTTTTATTTTCAATTTTCTCCTATAAGTTCTTTTATTTTCTGCTCCTATGTGAAGTAGCATAATGTTTGGTATTTTTTTTTGGTACCAGGGATCGAACTTGGGCCCTTGCACTTGAGCAGCAGGCGGCGAAACCACTGAGCTAAATCCCCGGCCCAATGTTTGGTATTTTTATTAAATTAAGTGACTTCTACTTAAGAAAAATTCTAGTTTGAAAAGAATCCTAGGACACTTTGCTATTGCCATTTTCATATCATTTTGTCAAAAACTCTTGTTGTTTTTAGACAGCGGAGAGAAACTATGATTTTCCTTAAGGCAAGACTCATGTTTAAGACACATTCCTATACTTAACTTCTAGTGGGTAGTAAGTACTCAACTTTTATTAAATAATGCTCTTAATACAATTGATGGATGTCTGCTATCTCCTTGCATGTAGAATGCTGAACTTAAGAGAATCTACTTAATGGTCTATATCAGTGAAAAGAACTAGTGATGCAGATAATTAAAGACAGAAAATGTTCTTCTCTTAGATCAAGAAAAATAATAGTTCCATTATTATGTAATTAGTAAGATAAAGGCACAGTATTTTGGCTATCACCCATGGATCTTAATATAAAACTATTACTTTCCATACAGGATTTATTAGTGTGATTTAATTTACTTTATTTGTCTTGAAAACAAGTTTTGAAAATATGGCTTTGGTTATGGGAATGTTAGGAAAATCAAGACCTAGAGGCTATACTTTTCCCTATGAGTCTGATTTGTGCATTTGTCATTTTAAGATTATGTAAAAGAATCAAGATATAATATGTTTTCATACTAGATTCCCTTGATGAATTATTATGTATCACAAACATACTAATAAAAATGGGGAAAAAACAAATTAGGTCTTTAAACTGAAAAAAAAAAGGTTTGTATCATTAGGTATTTTTGGTCAAACTGCCTTTAAATTGGTTTAATTTTTTCTCATTAGGTCTTCTTCATGTGCTACATGGCTACTTGTATCAAAAAACCATGTCCTGGGCCGGGGATTTAGCTCAGTGGTTCCGGCGCCTACCTCGAAAGCACCAGGTCCCGAGTTGGATCCCTGGTACAAAAAAACACACACACAAAAAAAACATGTTCTGGTGATAGGCATTATCATTAACTTTAGGAAAGTAAATGGGGAAAAAATCTTGATTATAATTGATTTAAGTGTCTTATATCCAAGTGCAGTCAATGTGTTTGCCTTCTAAGCTATGAAATTAAAACTTAGTTGAACTAAAGTTTAAAGAAATAATTTTCACTATGTTGAGACTGATTTCTTAACAAACCTGTCTTTGAGAGTCACTGGCAGACTTGACTTTTTCCCCGATGTCTCTCAGGATTTTGATAAGTTTCTTCTCCTTGGAAAATTCATCATTCAAGGCTTTTCCTACACAGAATTGGAGAGCAACCAACAGCTTCTGATACCAACTTTTAAAATAAGCTTCATTTTGTGCATCCATTAGCAGCCTGAAGGGTAAAGAGAAAAAGAATTCCTGAATCTAAAGCTGATGGTTTAAACCACCTCCAGCAGGAACAATAAGTGCATTTCAGACTAATCTGTATTTAGTGGTTTGGGGCAGTTTAACAGCTAACAATGGCAAAAATGTTGTTTATTTGTTGGCAGTCATCAAATTCTATCTAATAGCTAATGAGATTCCAAGAGTGAAGAATCAGTAAGAGACCTTGGCTTTTCTCCTTTCAGTTCACAATGCACTTTTTGTTCGTGTAGTCTTCTTAATTCTGAAACAAATATTTATCTCAATAACACCTGTAACTTATTAAAATACATACAAAGAACTTTAGAAAGTTTTAAAAAGTGATGATCCTGCATTGTGATCAACCATCACACCCATCTTTTCCCTCTTTTCTTGAAATCACAATATCTCCACACTGTCTCCTTTCCCCAGCACTTCCTGCTGGTAGCCTGGAGGAAGACACTGTAGAGGCAAGAGTACCCTCGTCCTGACATTTCCAGATCCATTTCCCAGTTCAACAAAATACAAGTTACTTAACCAGGTTAAGATATTTCTTTATCTGTAAAATGAGGTAAACTCTGATTCTGCAGAGCTTTCTAGGACATAAAGTGAGCTAACATATTTGAGAGTGTTTGGCACAATGTTAAGTATGAGGCATTAAAAAATCATTAGCCCATCTGCATCTTGTAGCCTCTCCAAGTCAACCCCTGTCTGTCTGGAAGTCTGCTCTTGCCATCTAAATGGAAGGCATTGAGCCCTAGAAATAAGGAACTTTCCAGGATAGTGGTGCAGGGACAAGTATTTGATCACTCTGCCTGCCCTGTGACAATTTCTATTGCCTTGAAACCATTAGAGAATGCTAAACCTTTACTTTCTATTATGCCCTAAAACACTGAAACAGAACAAAAAAGGCCAATTCCTCAAATCTTAACCCCTCTCAGACTGATTCTTTTAATCTTAACTGGTCTTTAGTTTTCTCCTCCTCTGAAAAATAATTAGCATTCAGGAAACTAGAAGAAGACTATGAGAATGGAACACTAGAAGGGAAAGGGATTTTTGTCATAGTAGCCAAATATATGTGTTTCATTTTGCAATTTATAATTTTATATCTTTGCCTAATATGTATTACGTTAGAGAGTCTATCAAATACATTATTTTTATTTATTCAGTGTTTTCAATTCATTCACATTCAAGTTTAAAAAGGTGAATGAGTGCATTTTAAAAAATGAATGTCCACTCTTTTGACATCCTTATGAAGTCAACTTATATTTAAGCATCTCTTTTAATATAAACTTTGTGTAAAATTACAGTGCTTATATACTCATGGAATACATAAAACACAAACACACACAAACCTTCAGGGAGCTAATGATATATGACACAAAAAATAAATTCTCTTGTTACCTGGTTATTTTCGATGGAAGAAGAGTTGACCATGAAATTTCCTATTCACTCCAAGACAAAATTTTTTTTGAAATGTCAGATATGTAATAAAGGAATCATATCATTACTGGATGACCCAAAGAAAATGTGTTTTCTATGTATGTAAATGTAAAGCTGCAAATGCAAACATGCGCATACAAAATGGAAGATATTTTATGCAGCATCATATATTTCTCAGATTCCCACAGCACGTTCAGGACTGTGGTAAAGTACTATTTTTCAGCCTACATTGGTTTCAATGAAATAGGGAGTGGATGGATAGCATGCATCTATGTCTTGGTCAATGTCAGCATTTGCATGCACGTTGAATACTATTACTTGTTTTTTTAAAAAAATACTTTTAACTGGTCTAGTGCATGACCATAACTCTCCAACTGCCCAACTGCTATATACATAATTAAAATAAAAAGAAGTTATTATGTATGGATGGCACCTATAACTCATTACTAAAATGAAAGAAAAGATATATTTAGAGTTGAAGTCATAAGGACCACCAGAATTGCAGTTAATTTGCATTTGTAATACTCTTATTTCTTATTATATTAGTAATGAATTTGTTTCTGTCATGAACAATATACTTGCTTGTCTCTAGCTCATAGGGAAAAACTCAATTTGATTCCTTATTCAGAATAAGACAGAGCAGGAGGGATTTGCTGAGAGAATATGTGACCAGGCTCTAAAGAGCGTACAAGCTAAGAAAATTCAGTGTACTCTATTGTGATTATTTTCCTTGGAGAATGTAGCTCACTCAAACCTTACACTGCTGCCAAGACTATATGTCCTCCTAGTGAGATCTGGTTCAAATTCTATGGCTTTTTACTCAATGTGTAAAGAGTTTGTTTTTACACATTGCAGAATTGGAATCATACAGTATTGAAGATGACCATGAGAGGTCACTTATTCTAATCCTGCACCCTTGGGCACAGACACTTTTACTGATAAGAGAAATTAACATAGCCCTCGATTTTCAACAACTTCAGAGAAAGCTGGACTACAGAGTTTTAGTGGAGGATTTCTCAGCTCTATATCAATGACCTTCAGTATAAGGAAGTGGAGAGGCTCTCATGCTGTGCTTTTACCCATTGCCTTTATTTGTAAGCCTGAAGAAAACAGCTGGCCACTGCTCTTTGAGCATTACAGAAGTCCTTTTCAAAAGACACTCTAGCCTGGAAGAAGCAGTGTTGCTTGTAAGAAATAAAATGTCTAAAACTAGAAAGTTAAAGTCAAAGTCCTGAGATGTAGTGCCATTAAAAGGGTGAGCATTTAAGATGCAGATAATGTGATTTTTGTGAGAACTGTGAGTTAAATCTCAAAATTTCAGAGACTGCCTTTCCTAATGTCTGGAGGATCCAGCTGTGATTCACTTTGATACTATTTTGTACATATGCCTCAGTGCCTCACAGAGTGTGAGCTATGGCAACATTAAAATAAAAACAAAGGCATAAAATCTTGCTGATGAAAGACTTTGACAATGTCAGGTGTAATAGGCAGAAAGCAAGAGTGAAGAAAACAGAACTCATGTGACTGAGCACATTTGTCATGAAGGTATTTGTCTAAATTAAGTGGATTGTGGTGGACTCAGAGACACCTAAGATAGTCACAAACCATAACTGACACAAAATGGAGATTTTCCTTGGAAATTACAGAATTTTTACATTTCTCCATGAATGTAGCTGCTTCTGGGCGTATGATTGACTTGTGAGTGCCACAGGAACAGTCTAGATAGCTCACATTTCATCTGTTTACCAGCAGGACAGAGCACAGGCATCACACTGCCCCAGCTCTCTTCACAGCTTCCTTTAGCCTTGCTCTTAATTTTAGTTCTCAACAGTGCAATATCCCACACTGTAGGTGCTGCCTTAGATTTTTACCACTTGTGTATTTCCTGTGGGGGAAGAAGGGAAACAGCATCCAGGAGCAGGAAAGAACTGAGCTTCACAAGGAAGACGAGTGATTTCTGGTCACTCCAGGACTTCCTCTTCCCATCTCTTCCTGTATTTTTTATTACTTTATGTAGGTCAAGTTGTGTGAATCAGGAGACCCGTGTTTAGTGAAGACAAGAGGATTCTCGAATGTAACTTCCAAGTGTAGTTAGAATCTTGCGACAGATAAAGGATGAAACCCAATTCTCAATATGGAATTAATTTTAAGATTTCAAAAGTGTAATTAAGAATAAAATAGCACATGTCTCTTAGCATTAGTAACTTTACTTCTAATTGGTTTAGAGATTTAATATTTCCCTCAAATGCAGTATTTCAAATATTGTATGCTCCTTACAAAGATGATGATTAGCCCATTACTTCTGTTGAATTTTGCATATCAGGAGCATTATATGAGCCAAGACAGATATGTAATTTCCAATCAATTTTTATTTTGCAGTATTTATCAATAAACCACTTTATAACAGCTCAAATATAAAGCTCTTTTCAAAAGGAATAAGACAAGAATTAAATCTACACTCTAGAGACTGTATACAGTTTTAGAATACTTAAATATATGAGATGGGTCTGTGAGATATGTAACTGAATTAGTTATTTGCATACCACAATTCATACAATGAATAATTATTACTATCTCTAAAGTAATCTCTTTGGAATGTTAGATGCTCGCATTTTTCACATCCCCACTGTGCCCAAACTCTATGCTAGATTTAATTATTTTTTTAAAAATAATTAACTTTCTCTTCTGAAGACATGATACTCCCATACTCTTTGCCAAGTGATTTCCAGTGCATTCTTGTAGGCAGCATATTCTTCTCCTGCCTTAATCAGGAGAATGGGACTGGAGGAAGTGTACACTCACAGCCTTGCAGATGGTTTAAATGTGTTCCCATGGCTTGGTTTGGGCTCTTGTACCTCTGTTTGGGGCCATGGGGTCAGCTAGGGACTGTTCCTCCAGTCCTGGCATGACAGGGCCATGTAGAGCAAAAGTGAGCTTTGATGCTCAGCGTCAGGTGGAGCCAAGCAGAACAGCAAGGTTTTAGCCTGAGGGCCACATGGCTGTGAAACAGATCTTGCTTCCTGTAAGCCATTGGAGCTTTGGGGTTGTTTGTTGCTGTCATACAAATTGATAAATGTGCCCAATTTTATATTCTTCCTTTCCTTTATTTATGATATTTCTTCTTGAATTTCCTTTGGAATAGGGAGCATATTCTTAAACATCTTCAGTGATAGCCCTGAGGATAATTTTGGACAAACTTAATTACTGAAAATTAACAATCATTTGGAGCCAAGTCTAGTGAATTAAAGGAGTGATCAATTTGAGTATAATTTTTCAGATTAAAAAAAACTGTAGAAGCAAGAAAGATAGCTTTTTTCACAGATCATAAAAAGTCCCAGGAGGTATTTAAAAAATAATTTGATTTGGCTCATTTGAACATGTATTTTCTCTTATATTGCTGAAATTTTATTGTTATTTTATTATGATTAACATACTTTTTGACTCATTTAGAAATAAGAATAGGCCTATACACCATCTGTTGCTTTGTCCAGCCAAGTGTTTGTGCATCTGATAAGAGAGTCTCTCCGAGTAAGTGTTACATTAATGAAT